CATGCGATTCCTGTGGTAACGCGAATGCAATCGTATTGTCCAACCGTCTAAGACACATTCTTTTTGTTCCCCTTGCCTCATGATAGAATTATGGTATGTTGACAGGAACCTCCAGGTTTGTCAAAATGAATTTGTAATGGTTTCTTTATCCTTGTCCATTCAACTGATCAGAGCTGAGAGACCGTTATTGACAGTTGCCCTGTATGAACACATTTAGACCTGTCCCTATCTGCCCGTGCAGTTCTTTTTGCAAAGGATGTCGCAGAGTCATCTCATTGTCAAGGAGAAAGGAAAGGAGAGAAACAAAAGAAGAAAATGCTGCCTAGTATCTATACAAATCAGAGGGCATACATAAATGGCATCGCAGGGAGAAATTTTCCCCTTCTATATTGTCAGACGGAACCGTTTCCGATGATAATTTCTTCTACAGTATCCCCACCTAATTGGAACCCTTTATGCTGCTCAAAATTGTGGCGGTTATATATTTTATCTACATTCATTATGCTAAAATTGAATTCTCCGTAAATATACGTTCCTCATTATGCTATACCTTACAAGTTATACAATACCACAATTGGGGTACTAAAAACGAGGGACGATCCAACTAATAGGCTCCCGCATCAAAGGAATATAAAATGTCAACTGAGCCCCGGAATATAATATAGGCTACATAGGACTCTTTATCCCATAAACCAGATAATGTTACCGCCGCCCCTGCAGGGGGAGAATTCTATAATAGGATTCATCACTCCTCTTTTCGTCCTTCAAAGTGTCCACAAAAATAGATTCAGTTATGTAATGAAATAGTGAAAAATAATAAGAAATGACTCCTTCACAGAATGCGAAAACCATAGTCGGGGACTCTAGCATTTTACTCAGTATTCCGTAGAGACTATATTTGCATGCATTTCCGCTGTCTGATCGTTCTTCTTCGATGAACTTTAATATTAGGTGTATATATAGTAACCGCCACATATAGATTGTAGTAAACGAAATATGGCATACTGTAAAGCGTTTCTATTCTTTTCCTTTTCTGGCATGTTTCATTACGTTATTCTCTCTAAAAATCTCTAAAAAAATTGAAATGGATGAAACATTTTTTTTCCGCAACATGTGGCGCCTGTACACTTCATTGATTCTATTTCTTTGTTTACCATCCTGTTGTCATG